CCTGGGCTTTGTGTTTGCCTTCTCATCCTTCACAGGATGGGAATCCCTAGTGGGAAAGCACTTCACCAGATTAGATAATACCCTTTTGACAGGGTTCCATCTGTGTTCCAGCTTAACTTTGAAGTGTTTTCTTTCCTAATGAGATTCTTTTCACTGTTAAAAATTCAGGGCTTTCTTACTTCCATAGAACTGATTAGGAGCATTGTTGGAAAAACTGAGCTTTTTGATGATTTGCCTCCACACCATTGACTGTCTCTCTCCTGTCTCCCGTTCAACAGATCAATTTTCAAGTACTTACTAGGTAAAAGGAGCCATGCAGTACATTGTGAGAATCTGGCGGAAATAAAATGTAGAGTCGCCCATGAAAAATAATGAGGAGCGACTCCTGGTAACTTGGGGGAATAATTCAACAGAAGCAAAACGAAGATGTTCACTGTAGGATTATCTATAATAAAACCAGAGGGCAGCATTAATATTCCCTAGTAGATGTTTGGTTGAATAATGTTGTGTTCATTAGTGGGATGAAATGAATTTATAATACTCTGCAGAAGAACAGAATATAAAGTTGTGTGAATAACCATATTGTAAAGGACAAATAAAGGACTAGAAAAAAAAAAGAAAATGTGGATAATTTAGAGCCTTCTGCCACTGTTTAGGAGCAGTTTAACTAGTAAAAATGTGTTTCTAACAAATGATAAAGATTTTGAAAATGTAGGAAGTACTCCTCAGAAAACTCTTTTTCTAAGTCCCATTGAAAAGAAAAAGGAGGGATTCTGATGATTGAGTCTCACAATATTAGAAAATTATAAAATGAAAAGGTCTTTGGTGTGGTTACTCATAAGCAAATTAAAAACAGTGGTTTTCTTTTAGAGGCAGACCAAAGAGAACAAGATACATCTGGGGGGGTGGGGAAGGGCAGGGATTTCTCTGAGAGTTAGATGAGTCAGAAGGGGTCAAAGCAGCAGGATGTGGGACTTGGAGATTTTTAAATTATGGTTAACTCTCCACCTTTATTTCTTCATTTTTCCCCACCTTCTTCTGCTCACTCCCTTCTTAAAGATTTATTATATTTTGTTTGGTGGCCACGCCTTTACTCCCTTTCCATGTTGATAAAGTCAGTTAAGAAGCCTCATTGAGGTTTCTCTTGGCTTTTCAATGTCTGGTTTCTTTCCTACATTCTTTGGCTTACTTTATCATTGTGATAATCCTATACACATAAACCCTCCCTTCCCTCCACCCCACCACACACCCGCATGCGAACACACACGTACACACACACACACACACACAGCCAGACCCAAAGGTTAATGGAACATTAAGCTGCTGATATGCAAGATTAACCATGATGTATTTATTTATTAAGTAAAGGAGACTCTTTATTAGGTCAAACAGCTAAACTTAAAGAACATTTATACACGAAACTTGAAGTGTGGTCTAATTAGAAAGCAATTTATGAAGTACATTCTTTGGTATGTGTAGATAATTTTTTTATATTTTCTAATTTAATGTTATTTGAGTAGCTAATACATTCACAGTCTTTAAAAATCCAGTGATTATAAGAGCTCTTTTCTCTTTGCTAGCTGGGATGCTGTCTGATTCATAAATTGTTGAATAAAGCCAATTTGATCTTTAAAGAAATAAAAGATGATTATTAAAACTTATAATTGAAAAGTCTAATTCCCACTTCTCCTCCAGACCCCACCCCACCCCTGCTTCCTGCAGGAACTCCCTTTGATTCGTTTCTTTGTGAGTCTTCCCAGGCTTTCTTTATAAGAAAATAAACAAATGACGATATATAATTTTTACAGAAAGGTCATTGTGATGAGTACCACTAAATACACATTGATCTGCAGCTTGCATTTCTCACTGAACGATTTATCTTGGAGATCTGTTCACATTAGTGCATCGAAAGCTTCCACGTTTGGGGATTGAGGTTAGGCACAGTATTCCAATGTGTAGATACACCACGGTTGCTTTGATTAATCCCTAAATGATGGAATTTTTTAGTTCTGTCATTTGCTGTAAAAACACTGCTACACGGATCTGTGGAATCATATTTAGATACAGCTGTCAGAGGTGTTTCCTACAAGTGGGATTTCTGGGACAAAAGGAAATGCATTCGTAATTTTGAATGATGCCGACTTGCTCTTCATAAGGATCGTACCGTTTTCATTCCCATCAAAAATGCATTAGAATGCCTCTTCCCACACTTACGCCAAAAGAGTAGGTTTTCAAATTTTTGGAATCTGGTCAATGCATGGATATAAAAAAAAGGCATCTCAGTATAGTTTACTTTTCATTTTTTTCATTATGAGCAAAGTTAAGAATTTTTTCTCATGTTTAATGGCCATTGTATTCCTTTTACTATGAATTGTCTTTTTTCATCCCTTCATCATTTTTTTCTACTAAATTGTTTTTTTTTCCTAACTCATCTGTGATAGAAGTTGCAAATATATCTTCCCAGTTAATCATTCAGTTTTTGTCTTTATTTTGTTTGATTTGATTTCATTTCATTTCCCTTCTACATTTTTTTTTTTTGAAGAAAATTTAAAATACAACACAGTCCTTGCTTTGCATAGCATTCTGGAAGTGTAAAAATCACTGTGCAAAGCAATCTTAATCACTGGGGAAAATCACAATTGTTTCTCAACTTTAGCAAGTTTTTGCCAAAACGTGAAAAACTCCCTTCCTGTCAGTTATAAATATGTCCAAAAATGAAAAACTAAGAAAACTAATACATACTTAGCACTCTGTGACATTAGAAACATTAATAAATGAAGTGTTTTATTTGTTAAAATCTTCATCAGAGTACTTTGAACAGTGCTTGCCACCTTCTTTTCATTGTATACTTTACGATACACAGCGAGCATCTTTTCTAGGTGTTGGTGAAATGTCATACTTGCTTTAAGTCTGGATCTGCTTTTCAGTTTCATGAAATATCTTCATAAGTTCCTTTAGTGTGCAGTTTGGGCCGCCTCACTTCCTCTGGGATGCCTTCATCCCTTTCACCACAAAGACTTTCCTTGGTGAGGTGGATAAGTTCACCTTCCCTCGGGTTGCATTTGCCTCTTAAAGGGGTACCGTGTCAACATTCCCAGCTGTTTCTTCTTTAAATCCACTTACATTCCATGCCAATTTCACTCCCAATGTTATCACTGTTAGTTTGTTTTATCTGTACTTCTATCTTTTTCGTCCAGTTCCGTCTTTTAATTATCCATTTTTGTAAAATGCCACGTGGGCTTATCACTGGGAGTCAAGGACACAACACAACTACACGCTTTGCTGCCTGAACATGAACTGAATAACAGATTGCAGTTATCAATCACTGTCAGACTTTGAAAGAAGTACCATGATTGATCCATTGATCATGCTGAACATCAATTATTTACATAGAGATTTCTGGACTGAAGAGGTAGCAGCAAAGTTTACATTTTATACCATTACTCACAATTAATATAAGTAGTATCTGGAATTTAAACCTTGTTTCTGGGGGACTGGTGTTTTTAACTAAGTGGTAGTAACTGAAATCTGTGCATATCAAAACCATGCAAAGCAGGAAGTGCCAGTATAAAAAAGTACAAAGAAGAACGTAACAAACATCTGCATCCTCATCTATGTTCAGACAGTTACTAACATTCTGCTGTCTATGCTTTCGGTATTCTCAGTAAAGGAAACAGATCATTACAAATAAGGTTGAAGTTCTACTTTGTCCCCACCTCCCTTCCTGTTCTCTTTCTTTACCTCCAAACTTATCATCATGAATTAAAAGAGTATCATTTATTCTCTCTCTCCCCTCTGCCTTTTTTTTTTTAATTTGGGTATAGTTGACACACAGTGTTACATTAGTTTCAGGTGTAAAACTTAGCTATTTGACAAGATTATACATTAAACTATGCTCCCCACAAGTGTAGCTACCATCCATCCATTATATCCTTATTATGATATCACTGACTGTATTCTTTATGCTCTTTTTATTCCCGTGACTACTGATTCCATAACTGAGGCCTGTATTTCCCTCTTCCCTTCACTTGTTTTGCACCCCCCCCAGTTATCCTCCCCCCACCCAGCAACTGTCTGTTCTCTGTATTTGATTCTGCTTTCTGTTTGCTTACTCATCTTTTTTAGATTCCATTTATGAGTGGATTATACGGTATTTGTCTTTCTCAGTTAGAGTTAGGGTTAGACTTGAAACTTAGCATAATACCTTCCAGTTCCGTGCATGTTGTCTCACATGCCATGACCTCGTCCTCCTTTAATGGCTGTGTAATATTCATCATATATATAGGGGCGTCTGGATGGCTCAGTCATTAAGCGTCTGCCTTCGGCTCAGGTCGTGATCCCAGGACCCTGGGATTGAGCCCCACATCGGGCTCCCTGCTCCGCGGGGAAGCCTGCTTCTCCCTCTCCCACTCCCCCTGCTTGTGTTCCCTCTCTCGCTGTCTCTTCCTGTCAAATAATTAAGTAAAATCTTAAAAAAAAAAAAAAAAGACATACAGATGTCCAACACACATATGAAAAGTTGCTCAACATCACTAATCATCAGGGAAATGCAAATCTCCCTTTTTTTTAAACATTTCTGTCTACACATATAAAGATCTCAGTGAGAAATATGCAGTATTTGGGGGTGTGCTTTTAAATTTGTGTTGTAATTTGTTTTCTGTTCATCATGCCTGCCTTCGCTTCTTGTATTCTTATTTCCTTATTGAATTAATACAAATATCTTTTGATGTCTCCCTTTTTTCCCCTGAGTTTAGAAGTCATGTTTTCTATTTTGTCCTATTTTTATTCAATTAGTGAAATAATTTAGAAAAATAGAAACATCTAATACAGAAACAAATAATAAAGTGATGACCTGTTCTGGTTAAGAATTCTGGGAATCTCCCCTCACCTCTCCATGGAAAGAGAGGCCAAAGCTAGAAATACCCATATGTGTTTTGTGATATTTCCAGAAGTATTTTTTCTGATATATTTGACAACCATTTTCTTCTGTTGTCCTCCAGATTTATTCAAGAGATCGAGCATGCCCTGGGACTTGGCCCAGCCAAACAGTGCCCTCTTCGAGACTTTCTCACCGTGTACATCAAAAACATCTTCCTTAATCAGGTCTTGGCAGAGATCAACAAGGAGATTGAAGGAGTCACCAAAACATCTGACCCCTTGAAGATCCTAGCTAATGCGGACACCATGAAGGTGATGGGGGTGCAGCGGCCTCTCCTACAGGTAATAATATACTTTGAACTTAACTATTTTTGTCAGCAGTTTTCATTGACTTGGCAAGAGGCACAAATTACAAAAAGAAGAATTACCATCTGTTTCCATATTCATCAGAGACAAAACAAGAGGAGATAAATTAAACCGGCACTGGGGAAATTTAGAACTAATGTAGAGATAATGGAAATTCCTTCAGATCTTTAAGAAAAAAGTGATTGGCTTTGCATATGGAAGATGGTGAGTCTCATTAACATGCAGGCAACTCATTATTTGCCTGGAACTTCTCCCTGAAGGGAATTCTTTTTCCACTTGTGAATGTACCAGGAGTATGAAGGACTTCAGGGAAGGAAATTATTGTGCCAAACCTCAACTACCAACAAGAAAACCCTTTTTTTAGGGCAAACTTACTGTAAAGAGTTCAGCTAACTCACAGTGAATTTGAACCCACCAGCAAACTGGCGTTTAGAAGTCAGATCATTTAATTCAGGATCTTGTTAATACTGAGAATTTTACTTTGGTTATATAAAGAAATGGTTTCCAGGCAACAGAAATGAAGTAATTTGTTAGCAGATATTTGGATTTATAGGCTTGAGGTATTTATTTTATATCCATTTTAGCCAGTGACTTGGAGGTAAATCTAAAACTAAAAGTATATTAGTATGAGTTTAAATTATATATGTACATTAACTATTATTACACTGTTAGTGTATCTTTATAGTGTTTCTTCCTTTGAGAGAATGATGGGCACAATAGCATATTTTTACAAAAGTTGCACAATTCGAGGATATCTCAAAGTGTGGAAGGCTTGAGCTCTTCAAAGGAAAGTTGTGTAAATGGAAAGGAGTTATAGTTACTTTAGTTGCTTTCCCTTACCTGCCTTTATATGTGTGTTCCTTGGTTTTTCCTTCTTTGTACCTTAGAGTTAATACAAGTGCTAGACCTTTCATAGGCAAATGCTCTAGTTGTGAGCCTTCTTTTTCATGAGCAAACTCTTCTGTGGTATTGAGAAACCAGAACAGAGGCATTCACCTCTCCCAGAACCTGAATAATAGCATGACACTTAGGAAAGTTTCATTTGGATCATCTGGCTCTTTGTGAGATATGTTCCTTGTGAGGGATCTGTACTGAGTATGGGGTGCAGGGAAGGGAGAATGGCGAAGGCATGTGCTCACTTGTCCCTCCACTGGATTACTCTTCCGCTGGCTCTTTGCATGACTGGGACCTTCTTCTCTCAGAGGCCCAGTTCAGATGTCACCTCCACAGGGCGGCTTTTCCTGACTATCCTACCTAAGTAGGTCCCCTTCCCTAATTATTCTGCCTTCTTCCCTCCCTCTGACACCCCAACCCAGTCCAACACTGAAGCTGAACTCCCTGGACTGTATCGCCAACGCTCCCTTGCCAGGTGACTTAAGATCTGGTTCTGCCAATAGAAAGCACTAGCGGCAGATTGGAAGAGGTAAGAGAAGAAAGAGATTAGGGCTGTTTCTTATCTCCTCCCTCTCCACTTTGGATCATTGTTCTGGCTGTGGGTGTACCCCTCCCTCCGTAACTAGAGGTCCTGCCAGATGACGCCCACTCCACAGCTCCAGCCCTCACTGGGCTCTGGTGATGTCATTTCTTCCCCTTGATCACAGCTTTCTGCTCTTACTAGTCTCTGGGTACCTCACCATCCCTCACTGCTTCTTTCAGTTCTGCCCATACCTCTGTAATTCCATCTCTGCATTAATGTTTCCTCATGTGAATCATGCATGGAATTCTCTTTTTTTCTCCAGATCCTGAATAAATCTCCCCAGTTAGTCCCTATTTGAACACTTTGATTCTTCTTTCGTTGTAACACAGATTCATATTTATTAGTTCATCGATTTTCTAACTCGTTTATTACCTGTCTTTTCCCAATAGAATGTAAGTTCCAGAAGCATAGTACAAGACCAGGAAGCAGGAAGGTGTTTGATAAATAATTTATTGAACGAATGCATCCATGCATGGATAGATGGGTGGATGGATAGACACAGTGGATAAGCTTCGAGAGTCAGAAATAACTGCAGAGTCGGCATGGGAAGACCAGAGAGAGAGAGAGTGACAAAACATTGTTTGTATCTAGCTTTGGTCTGACCATATCATTAACTTCCTCTCATTCAGGAAACCTTTCAGTATTTCTGTCCCCGAGGTGTCACGCTCCCTGCTGTGCAGAGCAACTTTAATATGCTTAGTGTACTGAATTCCAAAGAAAACAAAGGCAACAATGGACTGTGGAGCATATCTGCGTAGTAAAGATGCTGACTTATTGTACATGATAATTTTCAGCTTGAATAGCAAAAACACATTACAACTCATAACTAGTGGACTATAATCAGAGCCAAGTCAGGGCCACATTTTGCCAGCTGTAAGACACCTCAGGGCAGCCTACTGCCACCTTATTAAATCACTCCCAACCTCGTCACCAGCCAGTGTTACTATGCCTCTTGTTTTCTAAATCGATTACTCCATTCTAAGGGATAGATGAGAACTCCCAACTTCACCTCTCCTCTCTTTGACGAAGTCAAGACAGAATTCTGTGTGAGTAAATCTTTAAACTAAGGTCATTCAATTTATTAATCTCCAAATTTGTTGTCACAACCAAAACACCTGCTTTCTTATTTATTTTGTTGCCCTCTCTTTCTTCATAAAAATTTTATTTTCTGAGAATATAAATTAGCTAGACCATATCAATAAATTCAATATTCTCAGAGTGATGAGATTGAAAAAGTAATGAGATGCTTATTTTCCTCTCGCATCTCGAGACATTCTCTTGCTTTATAATCATTGAGAGTTGTTTTCAAACATAATTTTCCGTGGTCAAGTTTCAATGTCCCTTATATGTCACCTTAACCTTTTTTTTTAAAGTCACCATAACATTTTTATTCCCAGCTAATTGTAGGTGACTGATCGGAAGAAAAAATAAACAATTCTCAAAAATTTTTGCTGAGAATGCAAAACAACTGTTAAGAAGGGAGCTTGGAGAAATACATATATGTGTAAAAGATGCAGGTGGGTTAAGTAGTCAATTACTTGAAGATTAAAAAATGTCCTTTAAAGTCATTCGCACTGCTAGACCGTCCTTGGGTCTCTGAGAAGAAAGGATCGTGCCTTTGCCCTGAGGCAGCACCCAGGGTTCTCGGGGCGGGGGGGGGGGGCGGGGGGGGGAAGGACAGCTGTCTCAGCGCTGCTTTCATCTGTTTGATGATGGGCAGATGCAGAGAGCCCCAGGACGCTCTGTCCTTACCTCTCTGAAATGGCATGGGGCGGTATAGACAGTCTGTTACAAAGGGGCATTTCCATGCGTGATAACGTGCTTTCGAATCCAGAATTTCACTGTCTAGGTACAGAATTCACAGAAGGGAAGGAAGTAAATCGGAAGGAGGAGATGACAAGCACCATTTTATAGGTGAAACAGCTGTGCAGGTATTGGCCCCAAATGATACGCATCATACCAATAGTAATAATGGTAGCAATTGTAACAGTTGTATTCCTACTAGTAGATATTAGTAATGATAGCAGCTAACACTTTTATGAGCCAAGACACGGTTCTGATTCTTTGGTATGTGTTGACTTGTGTTTTACGTGTATTGGCAACAGCTTTGTGAGGGTGGCGTTCTTATTATGGGGAGGAAACTGAGAAATAGTGAAATTAAATAACTTGCCCACAGTCACATAGCTAGCAAGTACTGGAACTATAATTCACACCCAGGCAACCTAACCCTGGAGTCCAGTGTCTAAATGAGTTCTACTCAAAATGTAGCCTGAGGAGTATGCTTGTCTGCAAGTTATTTGTTACCAGTCCGCTGTGAGATGCATAGAATTTGAGAGTAAGCATTTAGATGCCCTCCCTCCTTTTAAAGGAATTTGACATTGCCTGTTGAAACTAACAAAAAAAGGAGGGGGACTTGTGCTTTGTGTATCTTTGTGGTTTTAAATTTTTTTTTTTTATTGATCAGTTTTTGATGTATTTTATTAAAGTATCAATGTACAACAGATGGGGTGGTGGGACTGGCCTGGGCTCTCACCGTAGTTCGGGACACACTGCCCTAAATTTCTTACTCTTCTATGTTGCCTCCGAGAGAAAGAAGTGAAAGCACAGAAGCAATCATCTCACCTTGGTGCCCAAGGTACCTTCCAATAGATGAAATAGCTTGAATATTTTTTGCAGACGGTTGTCTCCTAAATATTCAGCTCCTAGAAGAGTGTCTGCTGTAGAGGGAGGTACTCAATATTTAATAAATGGATGAATGGTTGAGTGATTGAAAGTGAATGAATTGATGGCTTCCTTAATACAAGAACATGTATGTGCATGTTTTCCCCCAAGATTTGTGGTTGTGGGTTTAAGATTGTTGGCAAACTTAAACTAAAATGTTACAGTTCTTATTCCTCTGATGCTGTCTATCCACATGAAGGCAGAATTGAATATACCTCATGGTCTTATTGTCTGAGTCCTCTGTTGCCATCCCCCCTCCTTTTTTTTTTTCCAAAATGGCTTCCCCCTGTTGCAAGGCAAAGCACACTGATTTAAATTAAGGAAATCTCTTAGGAGAAGAGAAATGAGCATTCTGGCATTCTGGACATGGAGCTATGGAAATGGTCAGTTGAAGTGGATATCCTTTCAACTACTTTATACATCTATAGGAGTCTACAAAGTTTTCGTTCCTTAGACATGAGGAAACACCCACGCAGTTTTGGGGGAGGTCATTTAATTTATTTCTTCTGTAGTATCTCCATCCAGAAAGAGGGTTAGAAGGCTAATGCTCAGGGGTTTTGTCTTTAACCTGTCAAACTGTTGAATGGGCATCCAACCGTGTGAACAAAGGTACAAAGAAAGTTTTCTCCCCCAACCCCAATGGAATATGCTACACCCTTGCTACGTAGAGAGTGGTCTGTGGAAAAGAACCTCACACCTCTGAGTCAGGATCTGAATTTGTATAGTATCGGCGAATGATTTCCAGGCACATTTAGAGTTTGGGAAGCACTAGTTTGTA